CGAAGCTGACCGCTGAGCACGTGAGCTGCACTACGGACAAGGTCGCTTTGCGTTGGATTGCATACACCAGGTATAGTGCGAGGGTCATGTCGGACGTGGGAAGAAAAGGGAGGTCCACTTTCGTGCAGAAAGCCCGAAACTTGGCCCAGTAGGGCTCGTATGTTCGAATCGTCGAATCGGCGCGAGATTGCGAGATCATGGTGATGAGTTGGTCGTGTAGTTTCGGGAGCAAATCTGAACACAAGGCGTATTCATGATACATTAGTCGAATACTACTCGAAGTGCGATGATTGGGCTGTGTGCTAGTCCAGCGCCGGAGAAGGTAGCGGAGTGTGTTCCTGCTGCTAGGCACTGACTACCGTGTGTTAGAGGGATGTGCGCGTGGATGTGCGATGCCCAGGTGCGTGGAACGGGTTGTAGGAGTGGCCACCAATTTGCCCCCGGCCAGTGTGGGACGATCAGTGTGATCGATGCATGGGTTCGCTGCGCGTGGTGGAGGACGGCTGGAACCATGTGAGGGGGGGGAAAGGCGAAGCTGTTTTCTGATGTCCACGCGAGTGAGAACGCATCGACTGCTGTGGCCTCTGGGTGGGGAATCTTCGTACAGAAGCGTGGCAGTTGGGAGTTGCGGGCGTTTGCAAAGAGGTCGATAGAATGGGGACCCCAACGACGATCCAAGATGCGGAACCACAGTGTCTTCAATGAGTAATCGTCGTGATCGACAATTTTGGAAAGCTCGTCGGCGTGTGAGTTTAGCTCACGCGGGATCCATTCAATGATCAATCGTGTTTCGAGCTCCATGCATGTCTGGATGATCCCCTTGCAGGTTGTGGTCAGGTCTGGACTGCGGGAGCCACCTTTTCAAAGGATGTAAAAGACGCCCTGGTTGTCCACCCGCACGAGTACATGTTTCTTCTGGATCTTGTTGGCGTACGTTTGTAGCGCCCAGAGAACACCTTCGATCTCCCTCCGTGTGCTGGACGTTGCTCGCAGCAGCTCTGGCATGGTCGCGCTGGCTTCTTTGAGGCCACCCGGGAATGTGGTCAAAGTGGCGCCCCAACTGTGAGAGCTAGCGTCGACATGGATTACAGCGTCGTAGCTGTTTCGGACATGAAACGGTGCACCGTTGAATCGGTCAAACTCTTCAAGCCAGAAGTTGAGCTCCTCAGCTGCAGGTGGAGGGATGACCACACTGCTTTTCCATGAAGGTGCGTCATTGATCACTTGTAACGTGGCGTGGCTGAATGCGCGAGCTGTTGCACCAAGTGCGACGCCCATCGATGCGAGCATGCCGGTGACTCTGGCCACGTGGCGGACGGGGACTGGTCGGCATGCCTTGCTTGCGCTCAATAAGCTCCGAATGGTGGCGTGCAGTGAGGCCCGTCGGTCGAGACCGATGGAGAATCGGCCGGTGTCCGTGTCCAGCTCCACACCCAAGAATCGCAGGTGTTGCGATGGTGACAGCTGCGATTTCTTTGCGTTTATCACCAAACCTGCTGCTTTAAGGTCTAGTATTACGCGATGGCATGTAGCTTGCGCGTGGGCTTTTGACTGGCAGAGGAATAGAATGTCGTCCACGTATGGTACTACTCGAGTGCCTTGTTCCCTCTAGCGTCGGGCTAGCTGCTTGATGAGTTGTGTGAAGACAAATGGGGCTGTCGCGAGGCCGAACGGCAATGACCGAAAAGAGTAAGTGCGCCCCTCAAATTCAAAGCCGAGAAACTTCCAACACGAGGGGTGGATGTCGATGTGGTGGTACACGGATTTGAGGTCAATGGAGAACATCCAGTCCCCAACGCGTGCCAAGTCTGCCACGCGGTTGAGCCCTTCGTACTTGAATTTTGGGATGATCAAGTTGGCATTGACTTTTCTCAGGTCAAGAATGAGCCTGCATTTTTCTCTTTGCTCGACCACGTTGAGTGGACTGATACATGTAAGCTCCCATGCAGCCGTCTCAACCGCCGCTCCGGCTTCTGTGAGTTCTTGGATAGCGGTACGTGTGAATGTAGCATGCGTGTATGCTCCGGCGTGGTTGCGCTCACGGAAGGGCTGTGGTGGGCCATGGCTCCATGGAAACCAGTACCCCTTGGCGATTATGGAGAGGACGAGGCTGCAAGGGCACCATGAGCTCCACCACGCGAAGGTCGAGCGCAGCCGGCCGCACATCTGTGTGACGGTTTTGTCAGTGACCGCGAATTCGTACGGATCGCCATCGCGTGGCACCTCGTATTGCCGTGCGCCTGTGCATTTGCGGCATGGCAATGAAATGGAACAGAGGGTCGCTTTCCTTAGTTAATGCATAAGCCTGGCGTGTGTATGCATGCGCCAAAGATAACTCGACAAAAGCATGAGCAATGCTGACGGTTTGTCGTCAGGCCATGGAAGCTTGAGCGAATGCATTGCACGCCAACCGGCGTATGGGTATGATCCCCCTCCGTTTCACAACGATATCGGCCTGCCTTCCCATGATGGGGTGTGTGAAGTTGTGCTTTTTTTTTTTTTTTTTTTTTACAAAGCCTTCTTCTCACCGCACCTTGGCAAGCTCTTTCCCATGCTCTCTCTCCACACCCCCCCCCCCCCCCCCCCTTTTTTTTTGCCTTGTCGTCCACTCGGTAGGACGCAGTTCCTGCCCTTGGTGTGTGGGGTCGGTGCTTGGGACCAGAATCATGCTTGTTCCCTTTCTCCTTTTCTCTCCCTCTCTCTTTCTCTCTCTCTTTCTCTCTCTCTTTCTCTCTCTCTTTCTTTCTATCTCTCTCTCTCTCACTCTCTCTCCCTCTCTCTCTCTCTCTATCTCTCTCTCTCTCTCTCTCTCTCTCTCTCTCTCTCTCTCTCTCTCTCTCTCTCTCTCTCTCTCTCTCCCTCTCTCTCGCTCTCTAAGTCCTTATTGTTATTTGGAGATATGTATGCCTACCTTACTTGGGCCCATGCCCTTCCACACGTCCCCTCTCTTGGGCTCCCGGCCTCTCCCCTTCTTCATTATTGTTTGTTCTCATACGGTCCATGCTATTTCGTGTCCTTTGGGGCCTACTTCCAATAAAGCCAAGGCTGCCCATCCTTGCCATATCCAGCGGCGGCGGTTCGTGTGAGGAACATATGATGCATTTTCTCCTTCTCTTTCCCCTCCTCCATTTCCTTTTTGGATCCTTCACCAAGCAATGGGTCGAAATCCTTCATCTCATGGGTCATACATTGCTATGTCAACTAGCATGCTTTTCATCCCATCAATTGGGGCATACGGGGGACCAAGAGGTATTCTTCCTCTTCCCCAAAGCTAGGCGCATGGCCCTTAATTACTACCCTATCCTAGGGCTAGCCCATAGCCACCGCAAGCCCTAATAGGCTGCCCACGGTCTAAGCACTCGAGAGTGCACCGTGCATCACGCCCAATGGCTTGCTTAGCCATATCCCGACCCCTACACGACGGGTGCGGGTCCTTGGCCCCCCTGCCCATTCCGAGGGCAGGCATTGGCGACGTGGCCCGGCTGACCGCAGCGGAAGCACGAGCCACGAAAGCCGTGGAAGCTGCCCGATGGCGGCGGTCCACGCTTTGGGGGGAACGCCGTTGCGCCGTTGTTTCCGCCGCGGTTGAAGCGAGCATGAGCGGCCGCCGCTCGGTCCATGGCAGCAACGTCCGCGACTGCCTGCTTGTATGGCCGCGAGGTGAGCAAGCTTTCCTGCAGGTACATCTTGTAGCGCTTGGCGACGCGTTCATCGGCGGCATCTTCGACTTGAAACATGTCGAAGCGCGCCGAGATGTCGTCGAGAGCGGCGACGACCATTTCGAGTCCGCCCGCCAAGTCGCCGTGCTGCAGCTTGTACTCCGTGTGCTTCAGGTAGGCCCTCATGTCCTCCAAGACCTCCGCTTTCGCCCGCACTTCCGGGTGGTTGAACGTCGCCGCCGACCACGTGGTGTTAGTGTTAGAGGGGAGAGGGGGGAGGTGTTCCATGGAGATAAAATTTGGAGCATTGACTGGAGCCTCACCGTTGTCGTCGTCGGAGTCGTCAGTGTCATTATCAGCAGCTGGCGCAGGTGGGATGTTGGCCGCTGCTTCCTTGTCATGCCGGTTCGCCGTTGTTCCTCGCGCTCCTTTTTGTGTTTTTGCAGTTTCCTTTTTTGCAGAACCAGAGGCCGCGGGTAGTGCAGTTTCCGCAGTTGTAACGCTGACGGGCTGCTGCTGTAACAGGGACAGAAGTGCGGCGATTTGGTCCGGGGTCAACGCCGGAGTCAACGCCGGGGTCGTCGCGTCAGACGAAGACGCCGTTCGGCGCCTCTGGCGCTGACGCGACGGTCCAGCCACTGGCGCTGGCGCGTGCTGTGCGTCAGGCGCGTGTGGCGCCACAGGTGCTGCAGGCGTTTTCGTCGCCACTTGCGCCACGGGTGCCTCAGGCGCCACTGGCGCCGAAGGGTGCTGCTGCTGGAGGGGGGTGCTCGAGTTTTTGTTGACCTCGAGCCCGCCCAACAGCACGTCCACTGCTGTTGGGGCGGGCGATACTTCGTCTGCCCGCCGCTTGTTACGGCGATCGCCCGTCAATTCTCGGGCGTTACGGTCGGAGTCGGAAGTCGGCACGGACGAATTGCCGCGGTAAAGTGTCGGCGTGGACGCCATAGTTGAGCGATTGTAGGTAAAAATGTCGCGCAGTAAAGTTGAGGGTGACACTCCTCTCGGGAGACTGCGAGTTCTAGCCAGCTTGGACGGAAAGAAGTCTACTCGAACGGAAATGTTGATAGAGCCGTTGAAAATAGAGAAACGTGGGTGGAGGGAAATGAACTCCAACCCACGGTTTTTGTAGTTGGAGAAGGGCGTTTAGCGCGCTTCGACGCTGCCAAATATTCGGTACAGGCAGCTTCGCTTTCACAATACACAATTTTGAAAAACACGAATGTGTTTAAAAATTATAATGATTCTGCGAAGAGTTGGGTTGGGTTGGGTTTTGACAATTGCCTCGAGCCCACCCAGAGCATCTCAAACCAGCAACTCAACTCAGGCCTTTTCCATCCCCTAGAGCATGCTGGAGTGGCTCCTGCCAGCACTTCTGAGCATGGAGGTGATTCGGTGGAGAGTCGGGTGATCCACGGCACACCCACTGTCCTGCAGCTCTCTGCAGTATCACAGGTTGTGGTAAAACGGGACGTGGGGAGGGGAGGGGACGGAGTGAGTGGAGGGCGTGTGAGTGAGCGAGTGAGTGAGTTGGGGATGGAAAAGGTGACGAGCTTTAAGCTTGACTAGGCAGAAGCCACTCCAACTGGCTCTTCTAAGCAAGGAGGTGATTCGGTGGAGGGTTGGGTTATCCACGGCACACCCACTGTCCTGTGCCTTGTCCCCCGTGCCCCGTGCCCCATGCCCCGTGCCCTGTTCCCCGTGCCCCATCCCTCATGCCACGCTGCAGGCTTCTGTTTCTCTCCCATAGACCAATTAAACGAACAACGAAAGCCCACCTGAACAGCCGAGTGGCTTCCCTCAAATCCCCCGCCTGCGCGTGTGTGTGGATGAGGATCGCATACGACACGTGGCTGGGAGGCACCCCCCCCTGCTCCCACTGTCCTTTCCTCCCATCCCCAGAACAGCCAAACGGAAGGATTATAACCCACCTGAAAAGACAAGTCGCCTCTCTCAAATCGCCCGCCTGCGCGTGTGTGTGGATGAGAATCGCATACGACACATGGCTGGGTGGCACCCCCTCTGCCCTCATCCCTCATGCCCCAGTCTTCTGCTTGCCTCCCATCCCCTGAACAAGCAAATCAACCCACCCAAACCCACCTGAACAGCCGAGTGGCTTCCCTCAAATCGCCCGCCTGCGCGTGTGTGTGGATGAGAATCGCATACGACACATGGCTGGGCGGCACCCCCTCTGCCCTCATCCTGCGGAAGAGAGCAGCAGCGTCGTTGACCATGCCGGCACGGCGGTAGGCAGCGAGCATGGAGTTGAAGGTGACTAGAGAGGGGCGGAGGCCTGATGACAGCATGCGCGCAAAGGTTGTTGATGCGTCGAGAATCCGATCGGCCTTGCCATATCTGCAGAAACAAGGGCCAGGGGACAGGAAAAGGGACGACAAGAGACACAGCTCAGCTTCTCCGTGGGTGGATGGGAACCGCCCCCTCTGCTCCCATCTGCCGTTGACCATGCCGGCGCGGCGGTAGGCAGCGAGCATGGAGTTGAATGTGACCAGGGAGGGGCGGAGACCAGAGGAGAGCATTCGGGCAAAGGTGGTTGAGGCATCGAGAATCCGATCGGCTTTTCCATAACTGCGCGGGCAGGGGGCAGGGGGCAAGAGGGGAGGGGGGATGAGCAGCAGCAGCGTCGTTGACCATGCCGGCACGGCGGTAGGCAGCGAGCATGGAGTTGAAGGTGACTAGAGAGGGGCGGAGGCCTGATGACAGCATGCGCGCAAAGGTTGTTGATGCGTCGAGAATCCGATCGGCCTTGCCATATCTGCAGAAACAAGGGCCAGGGGACAGGAAAAGGGACGACAAGAGACACAGCTCAGCTTCTCCGTGGGTGGATGGGAACCGCCCCCTCTGCTCCCATCTGCCGTTGACCATGCCGGCGCGGCGGTAGGCAGCGAGCATGGAGTTGAATGTGACCAGGGAGGGGCGGAGACCAGAGGAGAGCATTCGGGCAAAGGTGGTTGAGGCATCGAGAATCCGATCGGCTTTTCCATAACTGCGCGGGCAGGGGGCAGGGGGCAAGAGGGGAGGGGGGATGAGCAGCAGCAGCGTCGTTGACCATGCCGGCACGGCGGTAGGCAGCGAGCATGGAGTTGAATGTGAAAAGGGAGGGACAGAGTCCAGAGGAGAGCATGCGGGCAGAGGTAGTGGAGGCGTCGAGAATCCGATCGGCCTTTCCATAACTGCATGGTGAGGGGAGACGGGACAGGAGGAGGGGAGGCAGGAGACCGGAGAGGGGAGACGGCACGCAGGAGGAAGGAGGGGAAGAGACTCAGCTCAGACTCAGGCTCAGCTTTCCCCTTGGCTGGGCTGGGCGACACCCCCTCTGCTCTCATCCTGCGGAACAGAGCAGCAGCGTCGTTGACCATGCAGGCAAGGCGGAATGGGTGGAGTTTTTTTTCCGAGATTTTTGCGAGTTGCTTTTGAGAAATTTCAAAAGCCCACTCACACGCCAACCATAGTCGAAGTTTACAGCGGGTGCTGTCGAAGTCAACATGCCGGTTCACTCTCCTGCATGTCAGCAAACAGAGCCATAGGCTCCTGCGAGAAATTTCAAAAACTCACTCACACGCCAACCATAGTCGAAGTTTACAGCGGGTGTCGTGCCGACCCACTCTCCTGCATGTCAGCAAACAGAGCCTTAGCCTCCTCCACCCCCGTCACTCCCTCCCTTGCACTCCCATTCCCCCTCCACACCCACTCAAGCATCAATCATAATGGAGTGGGAGTAAACAGTGGGCTATGGGCCACAGTCCTGATTTGCACACTCTCGCTACATGCTAACAGTCACTTTTACACGGCTTCACACCCACTCATGCATCAACTCACGTGTCGATCATAATAGAGTAGGAGTGAACAGTGGGCGCCGGTCCGCTTTCCTGCATGTCAGCAAACAGCTCCTTCGCCTCCTCCACCCGCCCGTTCTTCCCCAGCGCACTCAGCGTCGGGTTTAACCCGCTCCCATACAGTCACTTACACACTGCCATGTGACACAAAATCCCTTAACCCACTCACGCGTCAATCATAATGGAGTAGGAATAAACAGTCGGTGATGGCCCATTCTCCTGCATGTCTGCAAACAGCACCCCTACCTCCTCCAACCCCCTCACTCCCTTGCACTCTCATTCTTTCCCCACACCCACGCTCGCATCAACTCACGCATCAACTCACGCGTCAACTCACGCGTCAACTCACGCGTCAATCATAATGGAGTAGGAGTAAACGGTCGGCGTCGGCCCATTCTCCTGCATGTCAGCAAACAGCTCCTTCGCCTCCTCCACCCGCCCGTTCTTCCCCAAGGCGCTCAGCATGGCGTTCCATATCACTGCGTCCAAGTCCCTGCCCGACCCTCTTAGGCTGGTAAACAGCAGCTGCAGGGATGCAACAACAGTGAGTGGGTGGGGGAATGAGGAGAGAGAACGGAAGGATGAAATAATGTGTGTGTGGCTGGCTTTTCTCCTCTCCACCCGCCCGTTCTTCCCCAGGGCACTCAGCATGGCGTTCCATATCGCTGCATCCAAGTCCCTGCCCGACCCCCTTAAGCTGGTAAACAGCAGCTGCAGGGATGCAACAGTGAGTGGGTGGGGGAATGAGGAGAGAGAATGGAAGGATGAAATCGTGTGTTTGTGGCTGGCTATTCTTCATCCGCCCGTTCTTCCCCAGCACGCTCAGCATGGCATTCCATATCACTGCATCCAAATCCCTGCCGGACCCTCTCAGGCTCGTGAAGAGCAGCTGCACAGAAGGGTAAGAGGAGGGTGGACGTCAGGGAGTGGAAGGAGCGAGCATAGGGGTATGTGGGTGAGTGCGTGGCTGGTTCCTCTCCACCCGCACCGCACGTACTTCGCCAGGGGCACTCAGCACAGAATTCCATGTCACTGCATTTCCCTGCTTCACACTCATCTCCCTCGTCTCTCTCTCTCTCGCTCCACCCTTCACCCTCCATCTCACCTTCGCCTTATCCACGAGCCCATTCTTCCCATACACGCTGAGCATCATCATGTGTGTGTGCTTATCCCTCTCTTTCCAATCACCTTTTGAGTCGACTCAAAAGTCACCTCTAAATGGGGTTCGATTGGTCTTCCCATACACGCTGATCATCATCATGTGTGTGTGCTTATCCCTCTCTTTCCAATCACCCCCAATACATTCCCAATCTTCCCTCTCTCCCTTCGTCCCTCTATATCTATCTCACCTTCCCCTTACCCACAAGGCCATGCATTCCATACACGCTGACATCATGGTGTGTGCTTATCCCTCACTTCACAATCACGAAGCCCGCTGTTCTCACGCACCTTTGCCTTATCCACAAGGCCATGCTTCCCATATACACTGATCATCGTGGTGTGTGCTGCCAGGTCCGCTATACTGCCTGACTCATCCGCCTGAAGGGGCGTGCATGCGTGGTGGGGGGGAACAAGTGGTGGGTGGGAGAAGGGGGAGAGCTACGTTACACGCTGATCATGGTGGTGTGTGCTGCCAGGCCGGCTATGCTGCTCGACTCATCCGCCTGAAGGGGCGTGCATGCGTGATGGGGGGGGAACAAGTGGTGGGTGGGAGAAGGGGGAGAGCTGCGTTACACACTGATCATCGTGGTGTGTGCTGCCAGGTCCGCTATACTGCCCGACTCATCCGCCAGGTTGCAACCTAATTCCAAGTAAAGACGACAATAAAAAAAAAGGAGGGGGGCGGGGGGGGGAAGTTTAGGGTGCTTCTCCTCCTACCCACCCACCCCTACCCACCCACCCATACCCACCAGGATCTCAGCGGCATCCATCCGCCTTGCTGTGAGCATCCATCATTGTGCTCAGCAGCACGCCCTGCCTGAGAGCCTGGAAAACTGTCACACACCCGCTCATAGCTACACGCATGAAGATTGATTTTGAGACGACTCAAAATAAATCTTCATACACCCTGCCTGAGAGCCTGGAAAACTGTAACACACCCGCTCATAGCTACACGCATGAAGATTGATTTTGAGACGTCTCAAAATAAATCTTCATACACCCTGCCTGAGAGCCTGGAAAACTGTCACACACCCGCTCATAGCTACACGCATGAAGATTGATTTTGAGACGTCTCAAAATAAATCTTCATACACCCTGCCTGAGAGCCTGGAAAACTGTCACACACCCGCTCATAGCTACACGCATGAAGATTGATTTTGAGACGTCTCAAAATAAATCTTCATACACCCTGCCTGAGAGCCTGGAAAACTGTCACACACCCGCTCACAGCTACACGCATGAAGATTGATTTTGAGACGTCTCAAAATAAATCTTCATACACCCTGCCTGAGAGCCTGGAAAACTGTCACACACCCGCTCATAGCTACACGCATGAAAATTGATTTTGAGACGTCTCAAAATAAATCTTCATACACCCTGCCTGAGAGCCTGGAAAACTGTCACACACCCGCCCATAGCCACATGCATGAAGATTGATTTTGAGACGTCTCAAAATAAATCTTCATACACCCTGCCTGAGAGCCTGGAAAACTGTCACACACCCGCCCATAGCCACATGCATGAAGATTGATTTTGAGACGTCTCAAAATAAATCTTCATACACCCTGCCTGAGAGCCTGGAAAACTGTCACACACCCGCCCATAGCCACACGCATGAAGATTGATTTTGAGACGTCTCAAAATAAATCTTCATACACCCTGCCTGAGAGCCTGGAAAACTGTCACACACCCGCTCATAGCTACACGCATGAAGATTGATTTTGAGACGTCTCAAAATAAATCTTCATACACCCTGCCTGAGAGCCTGGAAAACTGTCACACACCCGCTCATAGCTACACGCATGAAGATTGATTTTGAGACGTCTCAAAATAAATCTTCATACACCCTGCCTGAGAGCCTGGAAAACTGTCACACACCCGCCCATAGCCACATGCATGAAGATTGATTTTGAGACGTCTCAAAATAAATCTTCATACACCCTGCCTGAGAGCCTGGAAAACTGTCACACACCCGCCCATAGCCACATGCATGAAGATTGATTTTGAGACGTCTCAAAATAAATCTTCAGACACCCTGCCTGAGAGCCTGGAAAACTGTCACACACCCGCTCATAGCCACACGCATGAAGATTGATTTTGAGACGTTCCAAAATAAATCTTCATACACCCTGCCTGAGAGCCTGGAAAACTGTCACACACCCGCCCATAGCCACACGCATGAAGATTGATTTTGAGACGTCTCAAAATAAATCTTCATACACCCTGCCTGAGAGCCTGGAAAACTGTCACACACCCGCCCATAGCCACATGCATGAAGATTGATTTTGAGACGTCTCAAAATAAATCTTCATACACCCTGCCTGAGAGCCTGGAAAACTGTCACACACCCGCCCATAGCCACATGCATGAAGATTGATTTTGAGACGTCTCAAAATAAATCTTCATACACCCTGCCTGAGAGCCTGGAAAACTGTCACACACCCGCCCATAGCCACACGCATGAAGATTGATTTTGAGACGTCTCAAAATAAATCTTCATACACCCTGCCTGAGAGCCTGGAAAACTGTCACACACCCGCTCATAGCTACACGCATGAAGATTGATTTTGAGACGTCTCAAAATAAATCTTCATACACCCTGCCTGAGAGCCTGGAAAACTGTCACACACCCGCTCATAGCTACACGCATGAAGATTGATTTTGAGACGTCTCAAAATAAATCTTCATACACCCTGCCTGAGAGCCTGGAAAACTGTCACACACCCGCCCATAGCCACATGCATGAAGATTGATTTTGAGACGTCTCAAAATAAATCTTCATACACCCTGCCTGAGAGCCTGGAAAACTGTCACACACCCGCCCATAGCCACATGCATGAAGATTGATTTTGAGACGTCTCAAAATAAATCTTCATACACCCTGCCTGAGAGCCTGGAAAACTGTCACACACCCGCCCATAGCCACACGCATGAAGATTGATTTTGAGACGTCTCAAAATAAATCTTCATACACCCTGCCTGAGAGCCTGGAAAACTGTCACACACCCGCCCATAGCCACATGCATGAAGATTGATTTTGAGACGTCTCAAAATAAATCTTCAGACACCCTGCCTGAGAGCCTGGAAAACTGTCACACACCCGCTCATAGCCACACGCATGAAGATTGATTTTGAGACGTTCCAAAATAAATCTTCATACACCCTGCTTGAGAGCCTGGAAAACTGTCACACACCCGCCCATAGCATAGCCACAACATAACCACATACACATTCCCTTAACCCCCACCAGGGTCGCAGCAAAGAGAGCTTCAGCGGCGTCCAGCTGCCCTGCCTTGCTGCAAGCGTTTATCATCGTGCTCAGCAGCATCGCATTTACTCAGAAGCAAGCACGAGGATACACCGTACCCAGCCACACCGTACCCAACCACACCGCACCCAACCACACCCATCCACTCACCAGGATCTCAGCAAACAATGCTTCAGCAGCGTCCAGCTGGCCCGCCTTGCTGTAGGCGTCCATCATCGTGCTCAGCAGCACTGCATCCACTCAAACACAAGATGCTACACCTTACCCACCCAGACCATACCCACCCACACCGCACTGTACCCACCAGAATCTCAGCGAACAATGCTTCAGCAGCGTCCAGCTGGCCCGCCTTGCTGTAAGCGTCCATCATCGTGCTCAGCAGCACTGCATCCACCCGCCCCCCCCGCCTCCTCCCCCTCCCCCTCCCCCTGTGACCCCTCTTGCGAGAACTGCCCCCTCCTGCCGCTGCCGCTACCGCTGCTGCCCCTGCTGCCGCTGCTGTTCCTGCTGCTGCTGCCTCTGCTCCCTCTGCTGCACCTGATAATGATGCTGATCCTGCTGCTGCTGATGGTGCTGCTACTGTCCCTTCTCCTGCTGCTGCCGCCGCTGCTGCCCGTGCTGCTCCTGCTACTTCTGCTGCTACTGCTCCGGTTTTTGCTCCTGCTGCCTCTTCTGACTCTACATCTGCTACTGATCGATTTGATTTCTCACCATTACCACTGCTGCTGCTCTCACTGTCACTGCTACTGCCACTGCTACTACCGCCGCTGCTGCTTCTACTCCAGACGCTGTTGTTCCTACTCCAGGTGCTCACACTATTTTCGCCGATGCTGCCCGGCTGGATCTGCCGGCTGCCCATGCCCCGGGCAGCCCGAAATATTCTCACCGCGTCCCCGAGCCGGCCTTGTTTGGAGAAGAGGGAGATGATGGCGCTGGCAATCACAGGGTCTAGATGCCCGCTGCCCTGAGTCTGAACAGGAAAGGGGAGAAGAAAAAGGTGTGTTGGGCAGGAGGGTGTGTGGTTGGGTAGCGGAGAAGTGAGAGAAGGGTCTAGGTACCCGCTGCCCTGAGTCTGAGGGGGGGAGAAGGTTAGAAAGAAAGAGGGAGGCACATAGAGAGGACAATTGGGAAGTTGGGAATGAAAGGGAGACTGGCGAATGAGAAGAGGGAGATGATGGTGCTGGCAATCACAGGATCCAGTCCAGATGCATGCCCGCTGCCCTGAGTCTGGTTTTTGAGTCGACTCAAAAATCGGCAATCACAGGATCCAGTCCAGATGCATGCCCGCTGCCCTGAGTCTGGTTTTTGAGTCGACTAAAAAATCGGCAATCACAGGATCCAGTCCAGATGCATGCCCGCTGCCCTGAGTCTGGTTTTTGAGTCGACTAAAAAATCGGCAATCACAGGATCCAGTCCAGATGCATGCCCGCTGCCCTGAGTCTGGTTTTTGAGTCGACTCAAAAATCGGCAATCACAGGATCCAGTCCAGATGCATGCCCGCTGCCCTGAGTCTGGGGTGGGAGGGGAGGGGGGGGCAGCGAAGCTGGTGGTGGTACATGCCCATCATAAGACGCCACACAGTCATCGCCGACACATGCACATGCATTATGGGCATGCACAAGCACATGCGTAATCAAGGCACCTCAAACCTCAAACCTCCACTCCACTCCCAATCGCGTCCATGCCATGGGCATGTAACACCAGGGCAGGGAAGGCGGCGGTGGTGGTACATACATGCAGTGAGCCCTGGGACATGCATCATGAAGGCACCTCAAACTTCCACTCACAATAGCGTCCATTGCAGCTGTAGAAGCCTCTTCCAGCAGACCCAAGCGGTGGTAAACGCCGATCATGGACGTCAGCACGGGCATGTCCACTGCACACCCTGCCGCCTTCATTTCCTGGAAGGTTCTCAGCGCGGCCTCCAGCTTGCCGTGCCGCGCGAACATGGCGATCATTGCGCTGAAGACATGAGAGTCGGGCTGGTGCGGGTGGATGGAGGTGGATGGGGGAAGGGAGGGATTAGGGTATGGCTTTCATCTCCTGGAAGGTTCTCAGCGCGGCTTCCAGCTTGCCGTGCCGCGCGAACATGGCGATCATTGCACTGAACACGTGCGAGCCCGGCTGGTGGGGGGGGAGGGTTGGTGGGGGAAAGGGATTGAACAGGTAGGCTCTGGTTGGTTGCACCTTGGTACTCCAGCTTGCCGTGGCGAGCAAACATGGCGATCATTGCACAGAAGACGTGCGAGTCCGGCTGGTGGGGGTGGGGGGGGGTGATGGTGGTGGGGTTGAAGGGTGGGTGGGAGAAAGAAGACAAAAGATTGAGCTACATGTTTCCAGCTTGCTGTGGCGGCGGGCCAACATGGCGATCATGGCACTGAACACGTGCGAGTCCGGCTGGTGGGGGTGGGGGGCAGGAAGGGTGGAGGTAATTGGGGTAAGGGATTGATCAGGGTGAGACTTTGGTTGGTTGTGCGTTTGAAAGTCCACCTTGCCGTGGCGGTGGGCCAACATGGCGATCATTGCACTGAACACGTGCGAGTCCGGCTGGTGGGGGGGAGGGGGAGGAGGAAGTGCATCGAAAGAGCGAGGGGGGAGGGGGGTGGTGAAAGGTATGGATTTTTTGCTGAGAGAGGTCTGGAACTTCAGATTGTGACTTTTGAGTCGACTCAAAAGTCAGCTGAGAGAGGTCTGGAACTTCAGATTGTGGAGGGAGGGAGGGAGCGAACAGGGAAGGAAGGGACACAAACAATGTCTGAGGTGCCTAGAAAATCACTTTTTAAAAGGGAATTTTAAACAAAAAATCGCCACCCACTTACACCCAAACCCACTTACACCCAACCAAACCCACTTACACCCAAACCCACTTACACCCAAACCCACGCCACGCCCACCCACCCGCCCTCGCACAAGCATGCACCTGAACGCCCCCACCCATGCACACACACCCACACCACACACCTGAACTCCCTGCGCCTTCATTCTTTCAAACACACGAATGTGCACGCAAATGCAGGCAAACACACACCCACAACAACCACACATACCCACTCTCCCTCGCACAAACACACACCTGCACACCCTGTGCCTTTATCCTTTCAAACAGCCCATCCGCTTCTTCAACCCCACCCACCCACCCACACCTACCCACACCACACCCACCCTCGCACAAGCATGCACCTGCACGCCATGCCCCCACCCACCCACACACCTGAACGCCCTGAGCCTCCATTCTTTCAAACAGCCCGACCGCTTCTTCAACCCCACCCACCCACACCCACCAACACCTACCCATACCCACCCTCGCACAAGCATGCACCTGAACGCCCCCACCCATGCACACACCCCTACCCACACACACACCTGCACGCCCTGCGCCTTCATTCTTTCAAACAGCCCGACCGCTTCTTCAACCTGCCCGGAGCGGCTGAGCAGGCCAATGAGAGAGCAGCACGAGTAGACGTCCAGAGGCACGTCCATTTGGAGCATGAGGGCGTGCAGGCGGCGGGCAGCAGCGAGCGAGGAGGAGGAGGAGGGCAGCGAGGCATAGAGAGAGAATAGCGTGTTGAATGTGACTGTTGACGGGTAGAACCCCCGTGCCATGAGGCGCTGGGGAGGGCGGGTGGGTGGGGGAAGCAGACACAAAGAGGGTGGGGGAAGAAGAGCAAGACAAGGGGGTGTTAGCAGTGACAACCGGCTGAGCAGGCCACTCAAAGAACAGCACAAGTACACGTGGAGAGGCACGTCCAGAGGGACGCCCATTTGCAGCATGAGGGTGTGCAGGCGGCGGGCAGCAGCGAGCGAGGAGGAGGAGGAGGGCAGCGATGCGTAGAGAGAATAGCGTGTTGAATGTGACGGTTGAGGGGTAGAATCCGCGAGCCATGAGACGCTGGGAGGGGGGCGAGGGAAGGAGGGAATGGGGGAACGGGTCAGTTGGGAAGGGATAGGACAGAGATTGGGGAGGAGGGCAGCGAGGCGTAGAGCGAGAACAGCGTGTTGAATGTGACGGTTGACGGGTAGAATCCGCGAGCCATGAGGCGCTGTTGAGGTTTGCGGAGGGAAGGGGTGGGGTGGGGAAGGGGAGAGAAGAGGGGGGTTGAGGGGAGGGCGCAGACACACACTGAGTGCGGCGAGTTGTGAGCATTCGACTAAACGTTCCCCTTTTCTGAGGCGCCTCAAAAGCAGACACAGACGGAGTGCGGCTAGTTGTGAGCATTCAACTAAACATCCCCCTTTTCTCCCTGCCTCGTCTTTCAAGCCTACCTTGAAAGTCTTCTCTGCCTTGTCCACGTCTTGACTTTTGAGTCGACTCAAAAGTCATCTCTTCAACTAAACGTTCCCCTTTTCTCTCTGCCTCGTCTTTCTTTGAGGTGCCTCAAAACAAGACTTTTCTCTCTGCCTCGTCTTTCAAGCCTACCTTGAACGTCTTCTCTGCCTTGTCCACGTCTCCCGCCTTGGCATACGCGTTCGGCAGCGAGTTGTATGCATTCAGTGTCGGCCCAAACCGAGGGGAGACAGCTCATGACTGCCCTGCTGTAAACCAAGTTTTGAGCCTACCTTAAAGGTCTTCTCTGCCTTGTCCACGTCCCCCGCCTTGGCATACGCGTTCAGGAGTGAGTTGTACGCATTCAATGCCCCCCCATCCACTTCCAAGACCTCGTCTCAAGCCTACCTTAAACGTCTTCTCTGCCTTGTCAACATCTCCTGCCTTGGCATAGGCATTGAGCAGAGAGTTGTACGCATTCAACGTTGGCCCAAACCTTGGGGGCGACAGCTCCCGATTCCCTCCTTCCAATCCGCCTCTGGTTCCTCCGCCTTCGCCTCTTCCAACCCTTTCCCTTCCTCTCCTCGCACCAGTGCTGCTGGAATAGCCCTTGGTCGACTTTCCTCCCCTCCTTCCCCCTCCCTCCCGCCGTAGCATCTCCCTCCTTTCCACCTCCCTATCAATCTCCTCCCCTTCCTCTTCCTCCTCCCTGCCATCCTCCCCGCTTCCTCCTGCTCCTTCTGCTTCTAAATCACCTGAGAATCCACCTGAGGGTTCACCTAAGCTGCCCCTACTTCTCTGATTGGTGCTGCTGCTGCCGCTGTCATTGCTGCTGCTCCTGCTGCTGCTTATACGGCCATCGCCTGTGCTACTGCTACTGCTACGGCCATCGTTCCTGCTGCTGCTGGGGCTGCTGCTGCTGCTGCTGCTGCTGCTGCTGCTAGCAGTGGAAGGTAGCGGCGTAGGCTTTCTCAAAACCGTTGCAACAAGAGGAGGCGGAGGGGGAGGGGGAGGGGGAGGAGGGGAAACCGACGGTATACCCCCGGAATTTCCCGTTCCACCACTATCTACACCTGCAGCCACGAAACCCCCATCGCCACCAACACCAACGCCACCACCAGCAGCTACCACACTACCACTACCACTATCCCAGTTACCCACACCAGCACTGCCATTTTCACCACCGGAATATTGGCTCTCACTGTCACTCTCGCTGATACCTTGCCTTTCCAGCCTTGAAACTGGGGATACAGTCACAGTTGCAGCCACTAGCCCCTCCCGAGCCTCGCTCCAAAGCTCACCCCGAGCCTTGCTCTGAACCTCTGGCCGAGGCTCGGAGCCCATCGAAGCTGGTTCGGAGCAGGAAAAGGCAGGTTGAAGGAGCGGAGATGGGTGAGGCTGGGTTCCCTGCAGCCCAGGGTTGGACCAGAAAGAGCCCTCAAAGGTGTCTGCTACAGATGTCTCTGCTGCTACAGGCCTTTCTGCTGCCACAGCTGCTGATGCAGCAACACCAGCTGCTGCTGACTTAGCTCCTACAGCAACACCAGCCCCGTCAGCACTGTCAGCACCACCGCCAGGCGCTCGCCCTTGCAGCGCCTCTCCTTCAAACCCCTCTGCACCTATCTGCACCACCAGCAAATCCTCTCTCTCTGCCACCCAGTCCATGTACTTCTCAGACGCCTTTTGAGGCGCCTCTGAAGCCGAATCCTCTGCCTCTGTCGCGGCCCTGCCCAGATGCTCTTGAGTCGACTCACAAGTCGCTTGAGACGCCTCAACGTCCCCTTGCACCCTGCTGACGTTTCTAGTCGACGAAATAATCGACCCAGCAGCACCCCTTTGCACCCTACCCACTGACTCCGCTCCCCCTGTTTCTCCCATGCTCTGGCCCACCCGATCCGCTTCAACGCTCCCCCCCCCATCTGCCTCCGCACTCCCCCAATCAGGCTCTACACTCCCCCACTCCCCTGTATCAACCCCACGTGCCCCTTCTTCCCCCTCACTCCGCCCGTCACCCCTGTCCGCCTGTGCCTCCATCTGCAGCAATAGCTCCTCTGCCTGCCTCACCTTGCCCGCCCGCCCATACGCAGCCACCATGGCGTTCCACACCACCACATCCCACTCGCCTGGGGGCGTGCCTGCCCGTGCCGCCTCAAACACCTGTGAATGACGGAACACAGAGGGAAGCAATGAGTGGGTTCTGTGTGGTGGAGAGCGGTTGGTGCTGCTGGAGAGCCCATACGCGGCCACCATGGCGTTCCAGACTACCACGTCCCACTCGCCTGGGGGCATACCTTCTCGCGCGGATTCAATCTCCTAGGGAGACAGGGAGGGGGGTGCAGCAGGAAAGAAGAGGGGGGATGGGTTCTTTGGGGTGGAGAGCGGTTGCTGCAGCCCATATGCGCCACCAAGGCACTCCACTTCACGCCACTACGTCCCACGGTCCCACTCCCCTAAGGCAATGCCTGGTCATGCGGAACAGTGTTGCATATATACATCCATACGTACATATGTATATGTATGTGTATGTGTATGTGTATATGTATGTGTATATGTAAATACATGAAATATATCAGCACATTATACATATATACGAGGAGAAGCCTCAGAAATCCTCTCAGAAACCATACCTCCTGCGCAGAATTCAGGTCCCCCATGCTGTTGTACGCAGCGATCAACGCGCATATCGTTTTCGAATCCAGCCGAAAAAGGCCGTCCTCCCTGCCGCCCTCCTCCCTGAGCAAGGCGGCGATCCGTGCCACGCCGTCCGTCCTGCCCGCCCGTGCAAAGAGCTTCATCACTGTAGTGTAGATCACCTGGTGTGACGAATGAATGGGGTGAGGGAACAAGAGGGAGGGAGGAGAACAAAGCTTGTTAATCTGAGAGCAATGCATGCCAGGCCATCCGTCCTGCCCGCCCGGGCAAAGAGCTTCATCACCGTTGTGTAGATCACCTGGTGCGACGAATGAATGGGGGAAGAGAGGGAAGGAAGAGAAAGGAAGAGCACAAGGGGGACTGTTCGCCTCAGCAATGCATGCCACACCATCCCTCCTGCACGCCCGTGCAAACAGTTCATCACTGACGTGTAGATTACCTGCTTTTGAGTCGACTCAAAACCGCGTGTAATGGGTCTGCTTTTAAGTCGACTCAAAACCGCGTGTTATGAGTCTGCTTTTAAGTCGACTCAAAACCGCGTGTAATGAGACAGCTTTTGAGTCGACTCAAAAGCAGACTCAAAATACCACACCATCCCTCCTGCACGCCCGTGCAAACAGTTCTTCACTGACGTGTAGATTACCTGCTGGACGGATGGAGAGGAGAGAGGGGGTGAGGGGAAGGAAGGAGGGGGAGGGAAAGCGATGGGAAAGCGATGGGAAGCGATGGGCGCAAGGGGGCATGCATGGGCGCAAGGGGGCGTGCATGGGCGCAAGGGGGCGTGCATGGGCGCAAGGGGGCGTGCATGGGCGCAAGGGGGCGTGCATGGGCGCAAGGGGGCATGCATGGGCGCAAGGGGGCGTGCATGGGCGCAAGGGGGCGTGCATGGGCGCAAGGGGGCGTGCATGGGCGCAAGGGGGCGTGCATGGGCGCAAGGGGGCATGCATGGGCGCAAGGGGGCGTGCATGGGCGCAAGGGGGCGTGCATGGGCGCAAGGGGGCGTGCATGGGCGCAAGGGGGCGTGCATGGGCGCAAGGGGGCATGCATGGGCGCAAGGGGGCGTGCATGGGCGCAAGGGGGCGTGCATGGGCGCAAGGGGGCGTGCATGGGCGCAAGGGGGCGTGCATGGGCGCAAGGGGGCGTGCATGGGCGCAAGGGGGCGTGCATGGGCGCAAGGGGGCGTGCATGGGCGCAAGGGGGCGTGCATGGGCGCAAGGGGGCATGCATGGGCGCAAGGGGGCGTGCATGGGCGCAAGGGGGCGTGCATGGGCGCAAGGGGGCGTGCATGGGCGCAAGGGGGCGTGCATGGGCGCAAGGGGGCATGCATGGGCGCAAGGGGGCGTGCATGGGCACAAGGGGGCGTGCATGGGCGCAAGGGGGCGTGCATGGGCGCAAGGGGGCATGCATGGGCGCAAGGGGGCGTGCATGGGCGCAAGGGGACGTGCATGGGCGCAAGGGGGCGTGCATGGGCGCAAGGGGGCGTGCATGGGCGCAAGGGGGCGTGCATGGGCGCAAGGGGGCGTGCATGGGCGCAAGGGGGCGTGCATGGGCGCAAGGGGGCATGCATGGGCGCAAGGGGGCGTGCATGGGCGCAAGGGGGCGTGCATGGGCGCAAGGGGGCGTGCATGGGCGCAAGGGGGCGTGCATGGGCGCAAGGGGGCGTGCATGGGCGTAAGGGGGCATGCATGGGCGCAAGGGGGCATGCATGGGCGCAAGGGGGCATGCATGGGCGCAAGGGGGCATGCGTGGGCGCAAGGGGGCATGTGTGGGCGCAAGGGGGCGTGCACGGGAAAGGGACGGGGAGGGAGATGACAATGAGGATAGGAGGGGCACACGAAGACGGAACGACGGTAGCACAGGAGAACACAGAAGCCATTTTTCTCGTATCAAAATCGTCTCTCCTGTCACCTGGTGGGTCCAAATCGTCTCTCCTGTCGCCTGGCACGTACCCCCTTCTCCATGTGCTTAAACGTAGACGTTAACCATTTAAACACAGAGATGGACGGATCTACGTTTCTCTGTACAGAGATGAAGAGTCCTATCATCCTATGGTAACGACGGGACGATAAAAGGGACCTTGTATAATTATTTTCTTTTCTTGTCCTCACCTGATTCAGCTTGCAGCGGCATCCTCCATGCGGCTCAAATTGAAACGAACCATGGGAGAGAGGGGACGATGGTAAAGACAGGAAACGGTACAAACAAACACCTTCTCTGAAACTGCTTCCACATCTCATCACTCGTCCTCGCCTGATTCGGCAAGGTGACTTTTGAGTCGACTCAAAAGTAACCTTGTTACAATGGCACACGACACTTTTGAGTCGACTCAAAAGTCACCTCGACTCAAAAGTCGTCTCAACAAACACCTTCTCTGAAACTGCTTCCACATCTCATCACTCGTCCTCGCCTGATTCGGCATGCGCTCGAACCACGGGGGAGGGGAGAGGGGATGAGGGTCAAGACAAGAAGATACAGAAGATCCTGATCTCTTCTGATGTTCTCACCTGGTTGGGCATGCAACCCGCCTTCTCCATGCGCTCAAACCACCCTAGAGCTTCTTGTGACAGTCACCTCTCGTCTCTCGTCCTCACCTGGTTGGGCATGCAACCCGCCTTCTCCATGCGCTCAAACCACCCTAGAGCTTCGTTGAAGCGACCGGCATTGGAGTAGGCGACTATGAGCGTGTTGTACACGTACTCGTCCATGGGCACTCCTGTGATAATTATTTGAAAGAGCGGAAGACAGAGAAGCAGGGAGAGCGGGGCGTGCCATGGTGGGAGAGAGGTGAGCATTCAGCATTGGAGTAGGCGACTATGAGCGTGTTGTACACGTACTCGTCCATGGGCACTCCTGTGATAATTATTTGAAAGAGCGGAAGACAGAGAAGCAGGGAGAGCGGGGCGTGCCATGGTGGGAGAGAGGTGAGCATTCAGCATTGGAGTAGGCGACTATGAGCGTGTTGTACACGTACTCGTCCATGGGCACTCCTGTGATAATTATTTGAAAGAGCGGAAGACAGAGAAGCAGGGAGAGCGGGGCGTGCCATGGTGGGAGAGAGGTGAGCATTCAGCATTGGAGTAGGCGACTATGAGCGTGTTGTACGCGCGGCGGCACAAGAGCAAGCGCGCATTGTAAGCCAGCGCGGAGCGGAGTGCAGGTGCTTTCACTGCGCCTAACATCGCAGGCACGCACGCATGCGCAGAGCACCACCGCCAGCCCGTGCACACACACATGCATGCATGGATGCGGAACGGAATGGAAGTGAGTGAGTGAGAGAGTGCATCTCCTCGCTCCGTGGATGTACACGTGGATGCTGCGCGGAACGCCCCGAGCCCAAATACCCTTCCTACCTTGTCTTGCCATATCATCCAGCACGGATTGAAGATGGCTCCACTGCGCCGCCCGCCCGCCCCGCCCCGCCCCAGGCACGCCAGCACCACCGTGTACACGTGGATGCGGAATGGAGGGGAAGTGAGAGTGGAGTGGACTCACCTAGTCTTGACAGGCACTGTGGATGCAGGTGGTTCCACTGTGCCGCGCGCCCCAGGCACGAGAGTACCACCATCGGTGCACACGTGGATGCTATGCAGATTTATCCCTCTCTGCTCCGAGTCCCAGCCTACCTCTATGTCAGCCTCTCACCGACCTCTCTCCCCCAACCGCCCTGTCTCTCTCTCTCCCTACGTACCCAGTCGTGAATTGTCATCTAAAACGGATTGCGGGTGGTTCCACTGTGCCGCCCGCCCCAGGCACGAGAGCACAGCCTTCCCATGCCAGTGCAGGCTATCCCATGCACTGCTGCTCGCAGCCTATACAGTTCTCTCCCTCCCTCACCTAGTCTCGCCATATCGTCCAAGACGGATTGCAGGTGCTTCCACTGCGCCGTCCGCCCCAGGCACGAGAGCACCACCGTGTACACGTGGATGCTGCGCGGAATGCCCTGCCCTGCCATCCAATCGTAGAGCGCCAGCACGACACGCCAGTCCGCCTCTTGCTGACAGATGGGGGTAGATGGGGGAGCGGAGGGAGAGGAAGGGGAGGAGAGAAACGGGAGGGGGGAAAGGGATGGGGAGACAAGGAGAAAAGCACATTTATTTACAAAAACCAGATCCGTGTGCTTGCAACCACAATCATCACCAGAAGGAATGCCATCCAATCATCCTTCCTATCACAAACTCATGCAGGAATGGAATGGAATGGAATGGAATGGAATGGAATGGAATGGATGCTGCGCTGCGCGAAATGCCCTGCCCCGCCATCCAATCGTAGAGCGCCACCACGACACGCCAGTCCGCCTCATGCTGGCAGATTGGGCAGTTTTGGGAAAGGGAAGACGACGGGGGGTCAGAGCAGGGGGGAGGAGAGAAACGGCTGCTTTGCTTCACCACCCGACCATGCATGCAGGGAGGGATTGGTTGACAGGGGGAGGTAGGGCAGCAGCATGCAGTGGGTCGTTCCGACTTTTGAGCGGCTTTTGAGGCGACTCAAAAGGAGGGATCGGTTGACAGGGGGGGAGGTGGTCGGGCAGTATGCACGCAGGCCGTTCCGACTTGCGAGGCGCCGCAAAAGTTTTGAGGCGCCTTTTCAGGCGACTTTTGAGGCGGCTTTTGAGGCGCCTCAAAAGGAGGGATCGGTTGACAGGGAGAGGTGGTCGGGCAGCAGCATGCAGTGGGCCGTTCCGTTTGACCACATACCTTTCTCTCTGACGCGGCTAAACTTGAAGCTATTCGTTGGTTGGTCGGTTCTATTTCTCCACTTCCTTCGCTCACCTGTTTCTCGGTCGGCGCTAGTTGTCCTATCCTACTGAGACTCCAGACTGCTTCGTGGTGCTGCTTCTCTGAGTGACATTGTAACGAGCTGAATTTTGAGTCGATTCAAAAGTCGCTCACTCTCTCACTCACTCACTTGCTTCATGATGCTGCTCAGAGCGCGCGAATCCAGCCTATCCGCGAACGGCGTGAGCACCGACGGGAACTACCCTTTAAGTATGTGATCCAGTCCGAATCCAGCCTGACACAACTCACCCTCACATCACTCTCACTCAGTCACTCACTCACTCACTCACTCACTCCCTCACTCACTCACTCACTCACGCACCTGCTTCATGATGCTGCTGAGAGCGCGCGAGTCGAGCCTATCCGCGAACGGCGTGAGTACGGACTCCAGCTGCCGCTGCGGCGACGACAGCGGCGTGCCTGTTGGCGAATCCCTAAGAGAATCCCAGCCCAACCTAGCAAGTGACCACAGACACACTCTCACTCACTCACTTGCTTCATGATGCTGCTCAAGGCTCGAGAATCCAGTCTATCCGCGAACGGCGTGAGTACGGATGCCAGCTGCCGCTGCAGCAACGACAGCGGCGTGCCTGCTGGCGAGTTCTTCACTGCCGCCAGTGCCCGCTGCACCCCCTCCTGCACCTCCCCTGGCGTCCCCTGTGAGGATTGCGCAGACAAAGTGTTGGGGGAGGGCGGGAAGGGGGTGGGGGAGGGGTGCAGGGGGAAGGAGAAGGGAATGGCCGGAAGAGGGGGAAGTGCAAGAATTCAACGAATCAGATGCCAGCACAGCCGCTCGCCTCATCTTGAGCGGCTTTCATTCAACGGTCAACAATGCAAGAAAAATCAGTGACCAGATGCTAGCACAGCCGCTCACCTCACCTTGAGCGGCGCCGTCGGCGGCGTCGGCGGCGGAAGCGGCGGAAGCCTGCGCGGGCACCGCAACGGCGGAGGAGACCGTCCCCGCGGCGGAGATTCGGCGCGGAGCGGAGATGGCTGCCCCGCGGAAAGAGACGGAGGCGGTCGACGAGAGGGCCTGGAGGAGACGGAAGGCAGTGAGAGGAAGCGGTGAGAGCGATAACTAATGACAGGCCGAGGGAAAGGGATGCAGAGAGAGGAAGCGGTTGAGAAGCTAGTAAATGGGTGAATATGTATACGAGAACCAAAAACATCAAATTCATAAAGGAAATTCGGAAGGCTAACGGGTTGGGAAATGAACAAGGATGTGATGGCGTATCGTGACAGAAGCTACGGAAGCATCTAGAAGCTCACATTCTGAGACGTCGACGCAGCGAGAGAAATGCTGCTCATCTGCGCTTTCGGAGGCGCTAGAAGCGACGCCATGGCTGGCCGAGATCACAGCCACCAGCTACCTCAAGTCACGGGGAAATCTACACTGAGGACCAAGGAGGAAGTACAGTAGGATAGTAGGAACTCGGAAACCCTAGGGAGAGGGGAGGTTAGGGAGAGTACCTAGAAGCTGGGGATGTGAATCTCAGAAGGACCAGGGAAGTAAAGTCCCTGAGTTCGACGAAGTGGCGAACATAAGCGAACCCTAAACGAACACTCAAAAGTTCGCGCGAAAATAGAAAACTATGGGTGAAGATTTGCTGTTCTGCGACGAGAACTGACACGTCATCATTTTGGGTATCGGTGTTCTGGGTCTGATCACGTGGCGGCCCAGGCTTTTCTGGATGACGCTGACGTGGTAAGGGAAGCCAAGCTGAGATGGGATGTCAGGAAGTTGAGAGGGGCCAATCTCGAGGTTCATGGCTCTTCAGTGTGCACGCGATTCTGGCTACAAGCCTACCTGAGGTCTACAAGTAGGTATAACCAAACAAATATGTGCCTTATGATAAGCCCACCATTACTAATGTCTTGTAGCTATCATTGCCTTCTACAATCTCATGTTACAATATATTCAATCACAACAATATTAATTAATTCAATAAGGGGAATCGAAACAATCAATGGATTCGCCCATTGACTAAATCACCATTTTTTTCTCCACTATCTCCCCGGTACATGCTGTGTACCTCGTGTTCCTTCCTCCATTTCTCCCCTTCATTGTTGCTCCTAGTTCCCCGCTTCTAACTTTCTAACCTCCTCGTCCTGTTTTCCACCCAGCAACTCCTGTAGGCAACCCCTGGGCGGCTGCTACAAGCTGATTCAGCACCAGACCAGGTCAAAGCAGGTCCTTCAGCATATGGTACAAATGTGAAACCCTAGAAACCTGTACCCCTTAGAGTCTACCCCACTACAGCCTACACAGGCTAAGTCATATATATCTGACACACCCCCATAGGCAAAGTGGGGGAGAACTAGGGGTCACAAGACCAGTCAAGCAAAGCAAAGCAAAGCAAGCTCAGGGTGGATCATAACGACACCACACAGTCCGAGCATAGGTTCAAGGCCACAAGGCCAGTCCACATGCAGGAATATATATAAAGGTAAACAAGCAAGTGCAGTTATAAATAGATCACAGTACAAGCAAGGTCAAGAAGTGAGCAAATGAGGCCAAGTAGGCACAAGACCTAGCATCGTACAGAAGCGCTGATGATCACAAGGCTGAAGTGCCTTGGTAAAGATATCAGCAGTGTTGGCCCAAGAGGCCACGTAAGCAAGGCGCAGCTGACCACGCTGCTGCAGCTCACGAGCAAGAAAGTAGCGAAGAGCAATGTGCTTCGTTCTGTGCTCCAATCTGTGCTCCCGACACAAGGCCAGCATGGCCTTGTTGTCTACGTACAGAACTGGAGGAGAACGAGGCGGCTCTCCCAGGTCGGTCAGCAGGTAGGTGAGCCAGCGTAACTCCTGTGCAGCCATGGCCCCTGCGTAGATCTCGGCCTCACAGCTGGAGCCGAGAACAGAAGACGAGCGGGTAGACCGCCACGTAACAGAGCCGGAACCAAGGCTGAAGGTGTAACCCTGTGACGACCGCTGCGTAGCCTGGTCGTCAGCCCAAGAAGCGTCTACGTGACCTGTGAGGACCACTGAACTGCGCCCTCCAAGCACTAGCCCCATGCCTGACGTACTGCACAAGTAGCGCAACACCCTCTTCGCTGCAGCCATGTGCTCTGGTCGGGTGTCTCCCAGGAGCAACAGAGCGTGCCAAGATGCTAAGAGGGTATGCAAGGTCAGGTCGAGTGCAGGTCATCAGGTACATGAGGCAGCCAACAAGCTCTGGGTACGGGCCACTCGGCTCTATGGACTCATCCGAAGGCAGAGCTGAGAGCGAGTGGCGAGTAGACAGAGGAGTGGCCTGAGGCGAGGAGTACGTGAAGTCGAAGCGCTGAAGGACCTGTTGCACCATGTGTGACTGAGTCAGGGTAATGGTGCGCTGTGCTCTGTCCCGGGTGATCTGCAAGCCAAGGTAGCTGCGCAGTTCACCCAGGTCTGTGCACGTGTGTCTCTTCTGCAGCTCGGACTTCACGTGGGCAAGTCCAGCAGTGTCAGCAGTGGCAAAGACCAAGTCGTCGACGTACACGAGGATGTAGAACGGCGGCAAAGAGGTGTCGGTGCGAAGAAACAGCGACGGGTCGGCAGTAGAAGGAGCAAACCCAAGAGCCGCAAGTGTAGTCCTCAGTATGTCGTGCCACTCGCGGGGCGCCTGGCGGAGACCGTAGACTGGCCGCCGGAGGCTCCACTGGGTACCAGGAGGAAACGACCCAGTGAAGCCAGGTGGGCGGCGCAGCCAGATCTCCTCGTGCAGGCTGCCCTGCAAGAAAGCTGTGCTGAAGTCAAGAGAGTGAAGCTCGTAGTCGCGCTGAGCGGCTATGTGCAGCAGTACCCGAAGAGTGGTCATCTTCGGGGTGGGAGAGAAGGTCTGAAAGTAGTCAACTCCCTGCCGCTGACTGAAGCCTCGAGCCACGTAACGCGCCTTGAAGACAGGCGGAGAACCCGGCGGCCGCTTCACCCTGAAAATCCACATGCCACTGACGATGTTCGCCCCAGGTGGGGGAACCTCGTCGACGTAGGTGCCTGTGGACTTCCAGGAAGCCATCTCTGCGTCCATGGCTGACTGCCACTGTGAGGAGTAGGGACCCTCGATCGCCTCAGCGTACGATTGAGGAGTCGGGATGTCTGGTGCATCCGGGTCTCCTTCAGGGGCAATCAGCATGGACACGAGATGAGGCAAAGCAGCAGCAAAACACTGGAACTCCTCCTGCCTGTCCTCAAGGACGTCCGTGCTAAGAGCACACTCACCCCCGACGGACGGAGGACAGACAGACTCAGACTCAGCAACAAGACTAGCAGCGTAGTCTAGACGACAGCGCGCAGCAAAGTCGACAAGCTCAGCAACTAAGGCAGACGCAGCAGCGGACTCAAAGGAAGGGTCAGTGACAACAGTAGCCAGGAGACGCGTGACTGTAGGACTGGCAGCACGAAGAGAGTCAGACTCCAGGTCAGCAAGAACAGGAAGAGAGGACTCTGGAGGAGACGGCAACGGGAGACGCAGAGGAGCAGTGGAAGGACGCAGTGCCATCTGGTGTGTGCCTGGGACCGCAGGAGGACGCGGACGCGGAACACGACTACTAGTGCGAGCAGCACGAACAGGCGACGCAGGACGAGACGCAGGCTCACGACGCTCAGCAAGACCTCCAGTAGGACCAGTGTAGGGAGAAGGAGCAGGCAGGGGGGAGGCGGGCTGTAACTGTGACTGCGACTGGACAGGCTGTGGACACTCTAAGGGAGGAGCAGGACCAGTAGAAGGCGGGAGACCAAGAACCTGCTCAAGGAGCGGAACGAAGTACGACCGCGGCCGCTCAGCGCCTCCTGAAACAGCAGGGACAGCACCAGTACCCCCAGCGGCAGCACAAGCGCCAGCAGTACCTCTAGCTCCAGCAGCGCCAACTCCAGCACCCTCAGAAGTACCAGCGCCAGCACCACCTCCAGCGCCAACACCCCCAGCAGCTCCAGTACCTCCAGCAGCACCCGCAGCACCTCCAGCAGGAGCAACTCCAGCAGCCCCAGCAGCACCCCCAGTCCCAGCAGCTCCAGTACCGCCAGTACGAGCACCTCCAGGACCAGTGGCTCCAGTACCTCCAGCGCCGACCCCAGGGTCAGCAGCAACAGTAGCACCTCCAGCTCCAGCAGCACGACTCCAGCGCCGGGCAAACCACTCGCGCAGCTCCTGTGGAGAGGGTAGCTCCCGCCGAGACGAAGCACCCGAAGGACCCCCAGACCCAGCACCGCCAGAGGCCACACGAGCAGACCCAGCACCTCCAAGCTCCGCACCCTCAGGCTCCGCACCCCCAGGCTCCGCACCCCCAAGCTCAGCACCCCCAGGCTTAGCACCCCCAGACTCAGCACCCCCAGGCTCAGCACCCCTAGCAGCACCAGAGTCAACAGCTACCTCGACAGGCTCGACTGCGTCTACCTGGGACACACCTGACGGGGCAGGACCCTGAGGGGGGAGAGGGTCTACCGGGGGGGGACATGGCGTAAGGAAGAGCGGCGGCGGGGGGAGGGGCGCAGTGCGGTAGGGGAAGAGACGGTAGTAAGGAACCGACTCGTTAAAGGTGACGTCCTGGGAGGACAGAACACGGCGCGAGTTGGGGTGGTAAAACTGCCAACCAGGCGCGTCAGGGGGGAAGCCAAGGAAGACGCAGGGAACAGCACGGGGGGACACGTTGTGCGCAGCCAAGTCGCGGACAAACGCCCGAGATCCCCAGACACGAAACGCAGACGCATCGCCAACCTTCCCCGTCCACCGCAAGGTGGGGGAGGTCTCTGGCAAGGAGACTCGGGGCTGAAGGTTGATCTGATGCGCTGCGTACCGAACCGCAAACGGCCACAGAAATGGAGAGTAGCCGCATGGATCATGGACGTACGAGCGACGTCCATGACCATGCCAATGCGGCGCTCAGCAATCCCATTTTGCTGTGGAGAGGCCGGAAGCGTGAACGTCTGGCGGATGCCCTGTGAACGACAGAAGGCTCCCAGAAGGCCAGAGGAAAACTCCCCGCCTCTGTCAGAGTGCAGACGTAGAACAAGAAAGTCCGAGGCGAAACTCTTTCTGAGCTGGAGACGAACTGCGCGGATCCAGTCGATCAACACCTCAGTGACGTCACCCTTGCTGCGCAAGGGGAACACCGTGGTGTAACGCGAGTAGTCGTCAACCACCAACAGGAAGTAACGCTCGTGACCCTGCCCACAGACGCGGGCGGGACCCCACACGTCCATGTGAAGAGTCTGCAGCGGAGCCTCTGTCGGAGGAAACTCGGAGGAGTGAGGGGCGGCGCGCTGCCGCCCCTCGACGCAGGGAACGCAGGTAGGGGCAGGCTCCGGAGGGAGGGGAGGGAGGGACCGGGGGAGACCAGAGACAAGGTAACGGGAGGCCATGC